AAAAAAAAAAAAAAAAAAAAATCGTCTGAAATTTAAGAGAGAAACAGGGGCGGGAATGAAGATTCAAAGAGAGTGCATTATTTCTTAGTTCTTAACCTGTAACGCCATGCAGAAGAGCTATTCGAGCCCTTTGATAGGTAGGAAGCCTCTGAAGAGAATCCCACCCAAGAGCAGCTTCTTGTGCATCGTCTTTCCGAAAGCTGTCTCCACACGAGCTCTCCTTCCCCATGGCGCCGTCTTCTCTGCACAACACTAGCCGATTAGCGGCATATATATACATTTAGTGTGAACAATGAACATGATTGGAGTCCTTGTAAGGAAAGAAACTAAAAAAAAAAAAACCCGATTAAATCGAAAGATGTTTTTTGGCAATTTTAAATAAATTATTATTTTTTATTAAATAAACTGTCCCAAACTACCCTTCCCTTCCATACCTCTAACAATAAAAAGTTACCGACCAAATAATGGTAAATTTACTTAATAATTATTTACTTAAATCATTTCTAAATAAAGCTTATTGACCTATTATAATTTCATAAAAAAAAGTAAATAAAAAAAAGATGATAATTATAATAAATAAATAAAAAAAAAATAGTAATAATGTTGTCCAAACACCTTTCAATGAATGCATGTAAGCTGGGATGGTTGAGAGTGAGCCATGCAAAAGACGACAAATGATGTGTCTTTATTTGCATGGGACATGCATGCATCCACATTTACATGCGTGCGGTTTCAGATCACGCCACTGTTTTAGGGATCATCATACACATTTACTCGTCCGTTATTTGTCCATTTCCTTACAAATATTATGTTTTTATCTATTTTTTAAAATACCTCCCCGGGTCTATAATTCTGACACGTGTCGCGATGTAAATTATTTCCTTTTATTTTTATTTTTTATTTTTTTAACGTCGCCTACCCATAAAATAAAAATAATAAAAAAACAAACTCATGTCCTTTTTAATCTGGAGGGTACAGATTTCCTGCTATTTAAACTGCCAATGGGTGAAGAAAGTGAGGAGAAATTTTCTCCAATTTAGATTATATTTTTGTCTCCATCTTAATCCAATTTTCCCACCTAACCACCTTCAAAAAACCAGAATTTTTAAGTTTTATTTTTAACTTTCATATATTTTCATATTATTAACACATAATAATTTACAACAAACATTAATTAATAGTTTAATTTCAAAAATAAAAGATATACCTTTAACAAAGAAAAATATTTCTTTAAAATGATTAGTTTTTTAAAAGAATAACAGACAAAAATAAATAAATAAATAAATAAACTCACCTTCCATGTACAAATCTCTATCCTGATATTTATAAAAATAAATGGAGAATTTTACGAGATCGAAAAAAATAGATAGGTGGTAAGAATGGTTGAGAGATAATATTTGGATAATATATTATAATAATTAGTTATGAATATATCTTACCTCTTCGTAATTCATTAATATTCTTTCAATTTATGAGGAGATTTATAATTTTTTTTTATAGGTATTAGTTGGTAGCTTGTATTCTATTTATAACAATGAGAATACACTTCCAATTCTATTTTACTTTCTTAACAATAATAGAGACGGGAAAGGCTTCACTATCCTCACCCCACCCGTGGACATCTTTACCCTCACTCACTCCACCCAAGGGGAATGTAGCTTGAATGTTGCGGTGGTGGGAGGAGAGAAGATGGGGACAGTCAACAGTGCATGAGAGACTGAGAGGAGAGAGGAGAGAGATTGAAATTTTCTCTTCGTTTTTTTTTTTTAATTGAAAAAATTACATTTTTATTCTCCTAGGTTTAACTTAAATTATATTTAAATTTATGAGTTTTCCAAACAATTTAACAATTTTGTATTTACTTCTATTTTGATTCTTAACATTTAAAAACTAACTTTAGTTAGTTCAATTTTGGTCTCAAAATCACTTTTGACGTAATTAAAGTTAAAAATATTAGATTAGCTACTATTCTGAAAAATTAATAATATTTAACACTATTGATGATGTGTTTGATGATAATTAATTTTCTTTATAAATATACTAAGAACTAATGTCATTAATGAACTTGAATTCTGGTTGGAAACTAACATAAATCTAGGAGCACCAAATTTGAACATGGATTTAGGATTGAAATACCTACCAACTAGGTTAGAATAAATCGTTTGATACATGAATAACAGACAAAAAAAAAAAAAAAAAATGGATATTTTATTTTTTCAAAACAATTAAAAGAATTTATGTTACACATCATATATAGGTAGAGGTTTGAACATACAAACCTAAGAAATGGTATAATACTCTCCAGGTGTTCATTGAATATATATTTTATTATTTTAAAAACTTACAATTTAAATTTAAATTTCAACATTTTCAATTATACTCGGCTCAACGCTTAAATTAATTATTTCTCTTATAATATAAGCTTCTTATTAAATTTAAAATTCTTAATTAAAATGAAATTCTTTTAGAAAAAAACATCCAAAACATAAATTTTCAATATTTAGTTCTTATAATTGGAACCAAATACATATATATATATATATATATAATGCACAAGTAAGAAAAAGATGTTTTTTACTTTTTACGAATTTTAATAAAAATAAAATTTGAACTTGGACTTGGAAGCTTGGGCCGGGCGTGGGGCCAGCCCAAGCTTTAGTCCAAGTTAAGGCAACCTACTGAATGGGCCCTCCCCAATAAATAAATTATATATATATTAAGGATAATTCACCGTTCATTGCAAGCAAATATCAGGATATTTGCTTTAGATTATCATTTAAATTTATTATAAATAAATTAATTGTTAAATAATAAATATAGTTGTTTGTATATATTTGATTCTTGAATTATAAAAAATATATAATAAATCTTTAAACTTTTCTGATGTATATTATTTGATATTGTGTTTAATAAATTCTAAACAAAACCAATTATCGTTGAAATTTTAAAATTTTATTAAATAGATTTAAAATTATATAGTTTCATGTTAAAATAAAAAATAAAAAAAGAATAAAAAGAAAACACGTGTGGTGTAGCATAAAAAAGGGAATATAGATTTTACGTTGAAGAGTATTGTTCAAAATTCCAGACTTCATTAACACTCAACATGTGACTTTTTTTTTTCTTTTTTCTTTATTTTATTTTATTTATCTTTTTGGCAAGAGGCCGACCACAATTTCTATTCTCTGATTCTCCACTCTTTACCACCTTCTTCTTCAAGCCTTTTATTTTCTCCTCTTTTTTTTCTTTCTCACCCTATAACTAATTACCTAATATAAACAAAATTAAAAGGTTTTATATTATTTCCTTAAATATTAATAAATTTCGTATATTTACTGTTTGAGAGAAATATTCCAAGTTTAAAATGAGGTAAAAAATAAAAAGTATAATCAACGAGCATCTAGATGATAGATGATTAAAAAGCATGGTAGGTAGGAAACCACGCATGAAAAAATAATTAAAATTCTAATTTAGATGCCAATTAAAAGGGTGAAATATTCTCTATCTTTTTAAGTTAAGTGCATTAAGGAATTTGGCACAACCATTCATATATACATATACATATTCCCTGATTATACTTTTGGATACCTCTTTTATTTAATATCTAATATTTTACTATTTTTACTATTTTAAAACACACGTGTCATGCACGTGATATTGAGAAAAATATATATATTTTTTTAAATCACTAAGATATTTGATGTATTCGAAAATTGGTTAGTCGTTATCGGGTTATGGTGGGGGTACCCAACGGAATATTGAAAAATATAAAGATATAATTTGGAGGGAAATAGTGAAAATTTAGGGGAATATTCCTGCGTGTGGGCGCCAGACAAAAAGGATATTCAGAAGAATAATTTCAAACCGAATATATCGCGACACGTGTCACGAGGAGAATCTTTTTTCTTTTTTTCTCTTTCTTTCTTTTTTTTTTTCCTCCTTTTCCTTTTTCGAATAATTAAAAAAAAAGTCAGAGCTTGTAGCACAAGCCTCGTCATTTTTTTTTTTAACTAAGAAAATAATAACTCATTTAATATTTTATCTGCATATGATATGAATCAATGCATAATATAAATTAAAGATCTCGTCAAAGTATTCCAAAATGCATGTTAAACCAGAATCAAATTTTATATATTCTTAGTTCAATGTATAATAATTTAAAGTTATGATATTTTTTCTAATGTATTTTAAGACTTTTATTTACTTTAATATTACATTTACATTAAAAAAACCATTAATGTTTTTCATTTCGCCAATGACTATGTTTTTTTTGTAATTTTAGTTTGACATAATCAATCTTAATTGTGAAATAATTAAAATCTCAAACAATATTTTTGCAAATATTTGATCAACAAGTTAATCCGAATATTACTTCATTTGTAATAATTTTTTTATCAGTTTGTATCATAAATTTCTCTGCCTCATTTGATATTTAAACTTTCTCCGCATGTATTTTTATTTAAATTATTTAAAAGATGGGTAAAGTAAAAAAGAAAAATGTGAAAATGTGACCTGTGGTTGGTGCCACAAAGATCCAAACGGAATATGGTTGAGAACCCGAAAGAGGATAAAAGGTTGGTCTAAATTTTAGTGAGAATCTTGTTACCTTATAGTCCACTTCATTAAAGTAGGTAACCACAAGATTCCCAAACTTTAATTAATTCCAATTTAATTATTATTATTATTATTATTTTCATGAACATAGACTAAATATCCCTCTCTCTACCGTATATGCTACATTAAAGTTGTTCGTGTTACCGATATTTATTATTTAATTAAAAAAAAAAAAGATGCTTTATTCCGTTGGAAGTGAGGCATAAAAAGAAGGCAATATCCTTCCATTTTCTCGCATTAACCAACATTCCTCCACTTTCTTAAGGGAGGCTCTCTACGCCAAGCGCCAAGCGCCCACTTTTATCTTGTTGGTTGCTATGAGGGCAAGGCATGATCGAGATTAGTGAAGCTAAAGCTTGATTAATTAAGGCTAATTACTAATGGGATCCACAGAATTAGGCGCTAATTCTGATGACTACTCCTTGTCCTATGATAAGCTTCATCACTTCTTGTCTCGCCTCGAGGAAGAGCGCCTCAAAATTGATGTCTTCAAACGAGAGCTTCCACTTTGCATGCAGCTTTTAACCAACGGTACCCAATTTAATCCCCAGTTACCATCTCTTAATTTTTTTTTAATACTTATTTTCTTTTATCACTTTAAAATTAAATTAAATATATATTTTAGTTTACCGACTTTTAAAATAATGTAAGAGACTTTCGAGAATATAGAATATAGACCTTTGATATTGGGTAAGGAATATTTACTATAGAAAGAAGGTAATAAAATTCTATCTACTGAATTATGTTTAAATAAGGTAATTTAATTAAATATAGGGAGTCGAGAATATAATACTAATTTGTTGAATGGAAAAGTGAAGAAAAAATAATTATTTCTAAGAAACTTTAAAAAAGAATTCATAATTAAAATACAATAAATAATAATTTATATTTTGAAAGTTGGAGAAGAAAAATAAATGAAAATTTAAATGAAAGATTGATTTTTTTTTTTATATTTATAATTATTTAATTTGTTTTTGTTTTGGTGTTTAGCCGTGGAGACGTCGAGGAGACAGCTACAAGCCTGCAAGACGACAGGATCGGCGGCGGCGCCAGTGTTGGAAGAATTCATGCCGCTGAAAAATGCGACGGCGGCGGAGGATGAAAAGCCGGAGACGGTGATGTCCGATAAGGCAAATTGGATGACGTCAGTTCAACTTTGGAGTCAAGCAGGCGACGTAAGCAAACACCAATCTACGATAAATAATAATGCATCTACTGATCACTCCAAATTGGAAGATTGTGATAATAATAATAATAATAATAATTCAGTCAACTGTATCCAAAGAAGAATTAATCATGGAGCTTTTGTTCCGTTCAACAAAGATCGGAGCTCCGGCGGCGAGAAAGGGGCGGCGGCGAAAATGGAGTTATTGGAGAAAGGTGAAAAGAATAATAATAAAAATGAAAACAATATTATTGATGGTGGGGTGGTAATGGCGGTGGAGCAAAGGTTTGAAAATGGAGCGGCGGAGGTGGGATTAGCTCCGACGATGAGTTCAACTACGACACAGACTCACCGGAAGGCTAGGCGGTGCTGGTCGCCGGACTTGCACCGGAGATTTGTCAATGCACTTCAGATGCTTGGTGGTTCTCAAGGTATATCGATGTTAATTAATTAATTAATTAATTATGATTAAAAAAAATTGGATGGACTTTAGAGTTAATTAATTAATTAATTAAATTTTAATTGAAAACAGCTGCCACACCAAAGCAGATAAGGGAGTTGATGAAAGTAGACGGTTTGACGAACGATGAAGTAAAAAGCCATCTCCAGGTAAATTTTGTGGGTAAAAAAAAAAAAAATCCCACGGTAATTTTTCTTCTGCTTTTCCGAATTTAAATTCAGTGGTTTATTACCATTTTTTGATAAAAATAATATATCTGCAGGGAAATTATTATTTAATTAATTTATATAGAAAGAAACTTAAATTATTTTTAATTTTAAAATTTATCGAGAAAACAATGATTAAATTTGAATATTTTAATACATAAAAGCTAAAAACACGACGTCACGCACCAAAAATGTTATTTTAACCAAAGTAAAAAATTACGCAAAAAAAAAAAAAATCATTTCTGGATATCTAATTATCGTATATATACTCGCAGAAATACAGACTCCACACTAGACGACCCGGTCCAACCTTACAAGCATCTGGACCGCCAGCGGCTCAGCTCGTAGTTCTTGGTCTAGGCGGTTTGTGGGTCCCACCGGAGTACGCGGCTGCGGCAGGCGCAGCAACGCCGTCTGCCCTGTATGGACCACCGCCCTCGTCCCATCAGGCTTCCCACTTCTACACGCCGCATCTGCATCACGCATCTCTGCAGCATCATCACCAGGTACAGTTATACACGGGAGCACCAGCACAGGTGACCCAGAGCTCGCCGGAATCGGAGGTGAGGAACACCGCAGAGCGGTCAGAGAGCTTCGAGGAAGAGAAATCAGGGAGCAGTAGCTGGAGAATTGAGGGCGGCGAAAATGGCGATGAGAGGATTAAAGGAAGAGGGTCATGTGGGCGGAGATCGGAGGAGGGTGAAGAGAGTAACAGAAGTGAAATTACTCTGAAATTCTGAAATTTTAATTTTTATTATACCATAATTAGTGTTTGATTACAATATTTTTTATAAATTTATAAATTTTGTAGTATTAAGTATTTTTAATAAATTAGAAGATAATTGGATTTAAGACAAAGCCCATATCTATAATAATGGGCCGACATTGGGCCTCCCAATCCATTATTAATTTGATATGCAATGATTAAGGTTAATTAAAAAAGCTTAATTATTAATTAGAGCCACATAACTTATGATAGCTCAAAAGTTCAATCATGGGTGTTTTGATTAGAAAGAAACATCAAATATTAAATGTAAAAGGCCATAAGATGGGATCGCAGAAGGAAGGACCCCTAGTCTTGTCCGCAGAGGATCCCATCCTTAATGATGGGCCTTTCAACTTCGAGACCGAGACGGGTCTCTCTCACCGAAAATTGACCCACGAGGGAACGGACCAGGTAATTAAAAAAATACATAATATTAATTTTAGGGAATTTAATAAAAAAAATGAAAAATGTGGTAACATCGCTATCGACACGTGGGAGATTAGTAAGACGTGAGGTGCCGGGTGATGCAGAGATTAAAGGTGGTCCCCAGCAAATATTTTTGGAGCGTGGGCCATGGGATTTCCCGAGTTAGTGAGCACGCAGAAGGGGATCACGTGAAATTAGGGACTGGTAGGGCCACATCTCGGGTCTACCGGGTCCAGGTTCTTTCGACTTGACCCGCTTTTTTATCGGCTTAATTCCCCCGACTTACGGAAGCCTGTTTCCTTAGCCATCTTCCTTTCCTGTTTTATGAAACCCATTATATCTCCCGTTGGTGGGTGGAATTGTTTAAATTTAAAAGTTGGAGGACTTGATTGTAATTTTAATTAGTTTTTGGTATTTGTGAAACAGAACCCAATGAGATTGAGTGGCAGCGAAGCAGCAGAGAACGCCCCTCTTTTAGACATTTGATCGAACAGTTTGCAGGGGCCCAAAATGTAATGCAAAACAGCACAAGTTGAGTCAGTGGAAGACCCCATGGACAGGCCAGCTGCGGCGATGACACAGTTTCTGCACACCCTACCTGCGTCAACGTGGCTTGAACACTCATCCAACACCTCTCCCTTTCTAGAACCGGCCATTTTAGCCAGCCCTCATAATTAATTACCCGGGAAGAAGGGGTCCCGTTGCTGAGTCCGTTTTTCCTTTACGGTCGGGCAATCCCACATGCCATCCCTATTATTCCAATCACCCCTTCCTGGGTCACCTTTCCCCAGCACAACCCCACTCCCACCACTACTTTTATTTTTTCTTTTGCTTTCTGGTCCTCCCCCAATTCTTCTTTTTCCATATCGCCCCCTCCCTGAATTTTTAAAATAAATAATAATGTTATTTGATAACAAATTAAATATACATAGTTGGTGAAATGTAGGTTAGTTTAGGTACAAGGAAACGCAAGGCACACTATCCAAGTTGTCCCTAATAAAGGAACATATAATTAACCTACTAATTAGGGTATCCCTAAGATAGTACTAATTCAGATTAATATTTTAAACCATCTGATGGATAAAGCTAAACCGCCTCTAAGAATAGAAGATTAGATCCAAGGTCCATATCATTGACTCTTTATATTAAAATTTAATGCAATATGATGGATATATTTCTATTTTTTTATTTTTTATTTTTTATTTTTTATTTTTTTTGGGGTTCGATGAAAGTAAAGAAGGGGGAAAAAAAATATATGTAATAAAAAAAGAATTTTACATGACACTTATTTGTAATAATAATAATAATAATATTATTATTATTATTTTATATTGGTTCTCCGAATGGATGAGTTGCGTCGGGCGGCGGTGCGGCTTGCCAAGCGGAAGCCGCGAGAAGAGGGCGGCTGTGCCAGCCGAGGGTTAAACACCCTTCGTTCTCCTCGACGGAGAATCCTTCGGCGGAGAAGAGCGTGAGCAGCATACTGGCTTGCTTGAAGGCGTTGGATCCCAAATGGAGGGCTCTAAAGCCGGCTTGGTGGAGCCGAGACCTCCATTTGATGAGAGGTTCGTGGCGTTCGACTCGAGCCGATCCTTCACAGCTTACCACGTTGCAAATTTCTCTCTGTAGATACATCTCCGCGAAAGCCTTCTCCGGCATCTTACAGCAAGCTTCGAGTGAATCGAACATGGTGGAGTAGTAAAATAACGCCTCTGTGAACCGCTCCAAGAACCCGGTCTGGTTGTGGTCTGCTTCTTGTTCGACCACCGTCATGATCTTTGGCTTCAAACTCCGGATCCACCCGAGAACCATTTCCAAGGGGGAGGAGAACTGGTTGTTGTTTCCCAGTAGCCGGTGGAGCTGCATAACGGAGTTCACCGCCACCGTCTCCTTAGGACTCACCTGGAGCATCCACGGCTTCACATCTTCCAGCCTCGCCGCCGCTACGCCGCGGAAGGCGAATCGGACGTTCACCGACCGAGCCAACTCGGCGAGTCTTAACCCGATTTCACGCAGCGAGTCGCGGCCGTCGGGAGAAGGTGGGCCAATGCCAGTTAAACGGAGAAGAGGAGGGCCGCCGGGGCGGAGAGCGAGGGCTTGGATTAATGCCGGCCATTGTAAACCGTGCATTAGATTAAAATCGATGACGTGGACGCAATCGTGACCGTCGAAGGCTTCCAAAATGGCTTGGTTGGCGGTGAAATGGGCGAATTTAAGGTAAGGGCAAGCTTCGTAATAATGGTGATAGAGAAGCTCATTTTCGTAGCCGGTGCTAGTAGTGGTAGGGTCATGTGGTGTGAACACGCGCCGAGTCAGCGCGTCAATGAAGTGACCGGCGACTTTCCCGATGCCGCAATCGGTGTTGATGCCAGAGAGCAAACTTTGCATTTCAACAAACAGAGACCCAGCCAATGGAAAATCGCCACGATGGATGGAATCGGCACAAGTAACCAACATATGGACGAGTTTTATACCGGAGTCTTCCTCCATGGCGGTGACGACGGTTAGCTGATTCTGGGCAAGGTTCTGGTGTTGCGCAGCAACACAAGGATCAATCCAGGAAACATTTCCGGGCGTCTGATTAGAAACCGTAAAGAGATCGGGAAAATCGGATAGATCAGACGGCAAGGATGCCGTTTCATTAAACTCAGAGAGAATGGAATCAACCCAAGAAGCGATGTCGGAAGGGTTATAATGGACCGCATCGGAGGCGAGTTGAGAGATCTCAGAGGAAGAGTTGAACATAGCAGATTCAAGGCGCTCGAGTCGTTGAGCAACGTGTTGGAGGTCGGAGGAGCGGACCTTATAGCCAGCGCCGGCGAGAAGGCCATCGATATCTTGAGGTTTGGTGACGGTGGAGGAGGAGCTGCCGCTGCTGCTGCCGGAAGAGGCGGCGGAATCGAAAGGATCCATTAAATTGATTAATTTACAGAGTAAAGAGATGGCCGTAGAGGAAGCATAGAGGTGAGGAACAGAAGGATTTCAGAGAGAGAGAGAGAGAGAGAGAGAAGCAATGTATCTGAGAATTCAAGAACAGCCATGGAAAATGGGGAAATAACCAGTTAAAAACCCTCACAATCAAAATTATATTTTATTTAAAAATAAAATATATTATATTATAATTACCAGTTGAGAGTGGGACCCACCACACTGCATAAACGGTAGTAGACACCTAATTTCTACTTGCTTTTCAATATAAGAGATTTTAAGTACCACAAAATATTATTTATTTTTCCCCCCCCCAAAATATTCCCTCGGGAAATCATTATTATGTATCGTAAAAAACCATCTAAAATTTAATTCCAATTCGAAAAATCCGTTGAAAATCGAGAAAATTATAATAATAATAAAAAAAAAACTAAAACAGAATCTCTATGCAACCTGCAGTTAGACACACGTGGACAAAAAACGTTATACCGAATGACGTTGCTCTGCACAGTGCCCTCCACGCCATCCATGTCATTTGTATGAGATATTATTTGTCATTAATTTAATTTCGAAAATTATTATTGGGATTATTAATTATGCTGAATAGAGTGGTCACAATCCACGTCATTTAGAGCAACATTAATTGATTTTAAGTCCCATTATTAAGACAAAGATAGCGACACCCATCCCACTGGGCCCATTTAAATAATCTATTAATTATTCGTATTATATACCATAATTATTCTTTTTCAAAATTAAATAACCCCCCCCACGTTCACCTCTCCTGTAATTATCTTAATATATTCTAATATTTGTAATTTAATAATAAAACAAAAAGAAAAAAAATAATTAAAAATAAAAAAAAATTATGGTGTGTAGGTGAAGTGGTCCAAGAATTACAGATATGATTACATGGGAAATAGGAACGGTTGCATGCATGCAAGCAATTGAAATTTACATATTTCCCATTTAATTTTATTTATTTTTTAATGAGCTGGCTGGCTGTCACCAAACAGGACCGACGTTGATTTTGGCAAATAAAGTGCCTACGTGTACACATTTCTGTATTTCATTTCATAATTCAAAATTATTCAATTTGGTCAAACCATAATTTTATTTTTTAAATTTTATAAAAAAATTAATAAAAATTCCTTATATAAGTAAGTATTAGTAACCAAATATATTTATAAACCATAAGGAATTAAAGGTTACATAATAAAAATCGAACCCAAAAAAAAAAAAAAAAAAAAAAAAAAAAAGGAATTTCGTAAGTGTGCATGTGCAGGAGATTGAAATGGCACATGGGTGTTCCTGTCTAAGCCATGGCCTGTGGTCCAGAACATCAAATATGCATAATACAAAGCATAATCTTCTCTGTGACAGTGAGCTTCTAAAACCCCAGCTCTCTCTATGCATTTATTTTTATTTTTTTTATGTCACATTTTCAGCTACTTGATGGGACTAATTATTATTATTATTTTCATGAAACTAAACTATGTATTAAATGTATTAAATGTAACATATAAGTTAAGGGTATTTTATTAATTTAATAAAAAAAAAATATTAAATATGTGGAGAATGTGTTTCTCAGGGGTTGGTGAACATAAATGGAAAGTTTAGAAAGAATGATACAATAGAAACTTAATTTGGATTTGGAATTAAATATTTAATTATTTGTTACTTACTTTATCTAAATTAGTACGGACGTGTGATATGAAACAATGGTAATTAATTGGTAGCAAATAATGGATGAGATTATTCGAGTTATAGCCAAATTTGACCCATTTTTTTAAAAACAATAAATGCAGGTAAAACTACGTGGCATTAATATTAATTTAAAAGTCTATGAATTTTAAGGACTGGTTCTCAATCTTTAGTCATTTGCCATAATCTCCATGAAATAATGGCTACTTGCCATTAAATTTTGTACGTGCCATGTTATCCTATTTTATTATCAAAATTGTCCCTACCTTGTAAATATAAAACATAAAAATAAAATAAATTACACAAAAAAAAATATATATAATAATATAATAAAATTGTTAAAAATAATCTGAGGCCCAATCTTTATGGGCTTTTTGAGGCCCAATTTGGGCGATCCATAACGGTCATTGAACAGAATTAAATCACCAATTAGGCCCAATTCGGATCTTTTGAATCGGTCTCGAATGATTTTGAGATTTTTTTTACTTTTGAAGTTTGTTCCAAAAATATTATTGGTTAAAAAAAAACATTCTATAACAAATATATAAAAATTAGAAGATATATTTTAAATATTTGTAAATTGACATGGAGGCTAAAATGTTATCTCCTCGCTTTTTAAAAGTGAAGATTAAGAGTCTAACACGAGTGCAAAAAATTATTAAGATGTCACAAATATAAATTTGCTCCAAACAAATTACGTTTAACTTTAAAGTTCTTATAATTGAGCATTTGAAAAAGAAAGTGTCCATCGTTGGCATAGTTAATCATTTTCATTTTCTTTTAAGTCTTTCGTAGTTATTACATCATCAGGATCGCTTATTTAGATGTGGTTTTTGTTAGATGAACACGACTCCCCACAATGATATGATATTGTCCACTTTGAATATAAGCTTTCATGCCTTTGCTTTCGGTTTTTCCAATGGAGAGAGTATTATTTGATTATAAATTCATGATCATTCCCTAAATTGGCTGAGACTTCCATCGTCCAACAATTTTGATTTATTCATTTATTCGAACGTCACGATAAAAAAAAAAAAAAAAACTGTATATCCACTATAGAGTATAATATTAAATTTATGGCATGAGCTTTAAATTGACATATTGATTCCGTGGTCCCGGGGTGAAAATGATAGATAAATACAGCCTCGTGTGCTTATTATATTTGACTTTCAAATTTGTTGACATAATTTATTACTCACAAAAACTTTCATAATTAAAAAAAAAAAAACATAATTAATCCAGAAAAATCCTTTAATTTCATTACTTTACTCATCAATTATTTCCACTGAGTGGACGATACATCTAATTATTAATTCGAAGGAAAATAAAAGTATTTTATTACCGCTGAGGCAATCATGCAACTCTCTCTTTGTTCATGCTGCCGGAGCAAAGTCATAATCTGCAGCTATGCTTACGCCTCCGCCGGCACCGGGTGGCGGCGGAGGAAGCGGCAGAGGCGGAGGTGGTGGGTCCAGGTAGTTCTTACCGCCATTGCCGCAATCTCCATGGCTGTTCTTGCAACTGGATTCAATGGGAGGCATCATTTTTGTTTCTTCTTCTGAGCCCAAAGGGAGACCAAAAGGGTTTAGCTGCAAAGCGAAGTAAAGGGAGAAGCCTGCGTTTTAGGCACCCGGCTTTGATGCTTTATATAAGGAGTGCGGTGGTGGGTTTCTATTGTTTCTTCAAATAAGGTAATTAGGTTTATTGGAATAATATTAGATGCGCATGCATGCATAAGTCCCTTTATAACTCACATTAACTATACATATATTTAATTATAATCACACTCTCCAATAATTATCTTCGTCCAGGTTTGTCCGAGGCTTGTTGTTTATAGCCACATGTCAATGTCTCAGTCATGTTTGTCTATACTGTGTTGTCCATACCCAAAACCCCACTTATAGACTTTTACTATTTCATGTTGTGTCAATACAAGGATGTATGACTGTTTACCAAAATCACGTCTAACCCTAAAATGTACTATATGGGTAGGCTAGTTGTCACTTTTTCCTACCTGGGTTATATACTATCAAAGTTGTTGGTGTTCTTATAACATTGCTTTCTTTCAAAGTTGTTTTCAATGTATTTCCTCACTCTCATTTTCTAAAAACATTCTCCCGAATTAAACTCAAGGTTCGAGCATATGCCAACCTGGTCATTGGGTTAAAATAAGTACCGCACAATCGTTCTCTTGCTTTTACAAGAGTGCAATTGTAACCAGGGGTGAATAATTGAATTTTAGGTCGTTTTATTCTCTTTCAAACGGTAAATAGTTCGCCGTCGACGACCTTCTAGATGCGTGATTTGAACTAAACAAAATAAGAATGTGGGAAAAGAACAAGAAGCATGGGTGAAAAAAAGGTGGATGCTTAGATGCTCGACCTCGGTCGTGTTCCAATTTGGAAGAATATTGGTTGCTGACAGAAACCAAAAGCTGATTTAACACACACTATACTAGAATCCAATCCACTCTTCCCAATCTATTTATGTTTTTAGTAATATCAAACAGCTCGTGTCTTAGTGTGACAAAGATTCCATGAGATAGAGATTGGTTTTCAGCTAAAATTCCCATTAACTAATGTCGTATTCATATACATCAATCAATCAATGGGCGGGCGTCGTTGTTAAAAGAATAATTTTAAAACCATTTACATCGTTCGTTGCTAAACTAAAATATGCACGAATAAAATTTTTTAAATTACTCGCAAACGTAAACATAACCCATTTTTTTATTTTAAATCAAGTAAGTTAGATTCTTATAATAGAGGGTTGAATATGATCACGTTTTCTAATTTTGGTATAAAAAAACATAGGATTATTTTTGTTCTTATCCATGAATTGTGATTAATCTTCCCCTTTACTTAGTTGTTTATATTCTATTCCAAATTAGTTCATGAATTGAAATCAACCAGCTTTAGAATTTTGCATCTTAGTTACGTAACCCATCAGGCTTGTGTTGTTGTATGCATAGCCTTCTTTGCCACTTAGAAGTCTTAAGCAAGTGTTTAATACTCTAAACCCATCTCTGTATATATGGAATCGTTATGCAAAATAGATCATCCAAGGTGGTTGGATTAGGTTAAGAGATATGTTCCATTTGTTCCTAGTTCTTTGATGGAATGGTAATCAAGAGTAGCATTATTACAGGATTTATTCTTGATTTAATATGTATAACCTCTATTTGCATGTTGTTCTCTAGCACGTTTGAAGCTAAGTTTATAGGTGTTGTCGATGTAGCTCGGTTTTGGGTTAGGTTTGTGTGATTAAGCTAAGTCTTGGTAATATAAAATGTTGGGTTTGTGGAGTCAAACTGTGAGATTCTACATCGGTTGGAGAGGGAACGAAATCCTCTCCTCGAGAGGTTCGATATTTGAGGATTCTATTGATATGGCTAAGTTTAGGGCAACAAAGTACACCCTTTGTTCGATATTTGAGAATTCTATTGATATGACTAAGTTTAGGGCATGACTCTAATACCATGTTACATGATATTGTCCACTTTGAACATAAGAATTGTTTTGGGCTTCCCCAAAAGGCCTCATACCAATGGAGATGTATTCCTTACTTATAAATCTATGATCTTCCACTAAATTAACCAATGTGGGACCTTCTCCCAATAATCCTCAACACGAGACATTCTTTATATGGGTGTGGAAACCTCTATCAGGTAGACGCGTTTTAAAATCGTGAGGCTGACGACGATATGTAACGGGCTAAAACGGACAATATCTACTAACAGTGGGCTTGAGCTGTTACAAATGATATTAGAGTTAAACACTGACGATGTGCCAACAAGGACCCTGGCCCCCAAGGGGGAGGATTGTGAAATCCCACATCGGTTGGAGAGGGGAATGACGCATTTATTATATGGGTATGAAAATCTCTTCTTAGTAGACACATTTTAAAACTGTGAGACTGATAACGATATGTACACATTTTAAATGGGTTAATACGGACAATATCTACTAGCAGTGAGTTTAAACGGTTACACAAACCATAATGTTTGAGATGTTAGGTTAGAGCGTCACTACTGACGTTGGTACCATAATGTTTCATGTGCCGGAACCGTACAACTAAAATAGTCGACTCTTCCGAGTATTTACTCCATTTCCCCACGTATTTCTACTAAATCCATTTGGGAAGATAGAATATTGGCCCACTTGACAACTTGGGCCAAAGCCCAACTATGCGCTATTCGTGGGCTCTATTGAGGCTTATAGTGCATGACGAATTGTGATGCACAAGTGAATAAATATTTAGGTATTGTTGCATTTGAGGAGTGAATATAACAGTGACAAGCCACGGCTCCGAGATGTAGTTGTAGATACGGCAGTCTTAATGGGTCATTGGCTCCACCCGTTATCTCCTTCCACGACATGTTGTTGACCTCCCCATATTCTTTATGTAACTTAGTTATCATCTCTATCTTAGTGCGAGCCAACACTTCAATAACTCCTCCGTCGCTCTCTACATCATCAGAATAAGGGAAAACTTGAACCTAAGTTTTGTACTCTATTAATTTGTCTGTCCTTTATTTTAATTTTATTTCTTTTAAAAGTTACCTACCATAGAATTGTTATAATCTAAGGACGTTAAGCTTTAAAATTATTATAATTGAGTCCGTATAAATAATAAATTTTAATTCTTTTACCATTATTTTAAATTCAATATTATTCTTATTTAAATAAGATCTCGATTTATTAATCATCAACGAAAATGACATAATTAGTTGTCGGACAAATTTGACTTATCAATGGAGAAAAGAAAAATCAAAAGGAAACAGACAAACCCAGATTCAAAATAGGTGGCAGTCGAGAACAGCCAATTATTTGTTTATTTATTTATTATTAAGGCGTTTCAAATATTACACGTGGCGCAACTCTATTCGTCCTCAAACTTAGCCAGCCAGCCAGCCAGCCCTTACTTCATGGTCCCCCCACCCTTTTCTCATGTAAAAGGTTTCATAAAATGCATAATCCTAGCTGTATAATTAATTAATTATTTATTTATTTATTTTTATGAATTATATATCTTACCTTTTGAAAATTAAGGCAGAAATAAATGATTGTCGGGTAAAATAATAACGAAAAAGAAATAATTTATTAAAATAAAATGGAGTAAAAATGGAGGAGGAGAATTGAGGGATTGGTTACAGAGACAGGAAGAAACAGACAATGATCAAATCCCAATTCAAAACAAGGCAGCGCCAGCGCCAGACAGCGCCGTCGTCACTTGCATCTAATCCTCGTTCCTCGCCGCCTTCATCTATGGCTATGCCCTTCCCTCTCCGTTAAGGCCCCCGCTTCTTCTTCCTTCTTGTCACGTTCTGCCCCCACCTCTAATCCCAGTTAACCCTTTTCTTAATCCACTTTTTACTTCTTAATTTTATTCCAATCTCCTTTTTCTTCTTCTTTTTTGGTCCACTTTTAAGCCCTTTGTATATATCGCTCCATTTCCTCTCTCAACTCTCTTCCTCTTTGGCCCTCTCTCAACCGAGATTCCTGCGGCCTGCCCAGGGATTTGAGTTTTCAGGTCTGTTTCCTATCTGGGTTTCTCCTTTTTTCTCTTTTCAACTTGAATTTCAGCATACCCTTTTCTTTGTTTCTTGTTTCTGTTCTTTGATCTGGTTTCTTCCTCGATTTGCTGCATCATTGTTGGGTTTTTCATGCTGAATTCTGAGTTTTCTGTGAATATTCTTCTGGGGTTGTGTTTATATTGTGGATTTTTCACGCGATGAACAAGATTTAGTGTTTTTAGGAATAATGTATGCTCTCCACTGCTATATATTTACCTTTTTTGTGTATATCTTCTGAAAGGGCATGCTGTTTCTTTCTGCTGGATGAACAAAAACCATTTGTGGATGAGATTTGTTTTCTATTGCATCGGCTTAAGGATTTGTTGTTCATAGTTTAGATCCATGTATGTTTCTGCAGTTTACTTTGTTCATAGTTGATTAAGTTGTTGAGAATTTATCAGGGGGAAATGACGGAGCCAAAGCCATCCACACCCTTGCTAAGCACACAATCACCGTCTTCACGAAGCCTCCCTGATTTTAAAAAGTCTGTCAAACTCAAATATGTGAAACTTGGCTATCACTATCTCATCACTCATGGAATGTACCTCTTCCTTTCACCTCTGGTTGTTGTGATTGCTGCTCAGCTTTCTACTTTCTCCCTTCAAGATCTTCGTGAAGTTTGGGGTCATCTCCAATATAACTTAGTTTCTGTCATTCTTTGTTCGACCCTCCTTGTTTTCTTGTCTACCTTGTACTTTCTAACCCGTCCTCGCCCTGTGTACCTTGTTAACTTTTCGTGCTACAAGCCCGATGAAGCTCGTAAATGCACGAAGAAGATTTTTATGGATCAATCTCAGATGACAGGGACATTTACAGAGGAGAATCTTCAGTTCCAAAGGAAAATCCTTGAGAGATCTGGCCTTGGAGATTCAACTTATCTTCCTGAGGCTGTTCTCAATATTCCTCCAAACCCCTCCATGGCAGAAGCTCGAAAAGAAGCTGAAATTGTGATGTTTGGTGCTATTGATGAGCTTCTAGCTAAGACGAGTGTGAAACCGAAAGATATCGGTATCTTGATCGTGAATTGTAGCTTGTTCAATCCGACTCCATCGCTTTCTGCAATGGTCATCAACCACTACAAGCTTAGAGGGAACATCGTTAGTTACAATCTTGGTGGGATGGGTTGCAGTGCAGGACTAATCTCTATTGATCTTGCTAAGCAGCTGCTTCAGGTCCATCCCAATTCTTATGCCCTGGTAATTAGCATGGAGAACATTACATTGAACTGGTATTTCGGGAACGACCGATCGAAGCTTGTCTCTAATTGCTTATTTCGGATGGGTGGAGCTGCAATATTGCTTTCAAACAGAAGATCTGAGAGGAGGAGGTCCAAATATCAATTAGTTCATACTGTTCGTACCCACAAGGGAGCAGACGATAAGTGCTTTAGCTGTGTTACTCAGGAAGAGGACTCAACTGGGAAGATTGGTGTTACTTTATCCAAAGACTTAATGGCAGTTGCAGGTGATGCATTGAAGACTAACATCACGACGTTGGGACCTCTTGTTCTTCCAATGTCGGAACAGCTTCTCTTCTTCGGTACGTTAGTCGGTAAGAAACTCTTCAAAATGAAGATCAAGCCTTACATCCCTGACTTCAAACTAGCATTTGAACATTTCTGCATCCATGCTGGGGGAAGAGCGGTTCTAGACGAACTGGAGAAGAACTTGCAGCTATCTGATTGGCATATGGAGCCGTCGAGGATGACACTGTACCGATTTGGCAACACGTCGAGCAGTTCTCTATGGTATGAATTGGCATATACAGAAGGGAAAGGTCGAATGAAGAAAGGAGATAGAACATGGCAAATAGCATTTGGTTCAGGATTTAAGTGCAATAGTGCAGTTTGGAAAGCTCTAAGAACCATAAATCCAGCTAAAGAAAGGAGCCCATGGATGAATGAGATCGACCAGTTTCCAGTCAATGTTCCAAAAATTTCAGCCATTTGAAGAACAAAACTATAATTAACTCCAGTTTTTCATTCATTTTAGTCTTCTCTCTGAGTTGGGATGCCAAGATCTTCCATTGATCATCCTGTGCTGATATTAAAAAATTGACATTTTCTTTTGTGTTCTAGGCCAGCTTTGTTGAGAGCAGAACATTGCATCTTTGCAGATGCTTTGGGAAAGCTTCATTCATGTCTTGATTTGTATTGAGGATTGGAAGTGTTGAATTCAGCAGACAATTTGGATGGATCATTCATTTCTACTTCTTAAACTTACTATGTTGCTTCTATCATAATGAATGCTTCTAGTAATCTGTTTGAGACAGCTAAGGAGATTCAAGAATCCAGCGGTCGGGCGCACGATGGATCGAAGACCATATACCACGTTCTGCTAAAACGATCCCATCGTCATCGCCATTGGTGCAGATCATCACAACCAGAAGATCAGTTTCTTTCCCACAAGAAACCTTAACCAGGAAGTTTACAACACCACTTGCTTTGACTTTTCCTTTTCCTTTTACTTTTTAAAGTTGGGGATCTGGATTTGGAATGAGAATTATTCTCCATAAATGTCTGTAGCTTTGCTTATTTTCTATGAAGAAGTTCATGGTTTTGCTGAATGACGGAAACACACAAAAGAATTACTTTTGTGGTGGTGGTGGGCCCAGGTTGAATTAAAGTTAATCCATCTGGGGATACAATGCAGCCAAAAATGTAATAATATAAGGAAAGCAGCACCATACAGGAAGGATCCTCCTGTCGTGATCGTATCAAATTGCCTAACAATCTCCTGAAGAGTGAGTACCAGTCAGTATTAAATGAATACCAATGATTTGTTCTTTTGGGACGTAAATCTTCTAAAATCGAGTAGAAATATTCGACACAAAATCTTGGACGATGTCGATTTTATTATAGCTTAATTAGAGGAGTAGAAACTGTTCATGTAATTGTTCTTCAACGTGGTCTTTGCTACTACAATGACAGTGGTTAAAGATCTAAAGATCTTAAAGATATAAAGCACGAGACAACGCCATAACGAAAACGCGTTCAATTGAGATGACAAGTTCACACCCATATCTGCAGAATTGACTAAAAGTGTATACAAAAAATCAGCAAAGTCCATATCTCACAAAAGATGAACCTGTATAGGATAGGATATAAGCTCAACGCTCTGCTGTGCTGGCTTTCCCGTCGAGCATTGGAGAGACGGTTTCACTCATTTCCCGCCTCTACCTTCTCCTTCTCTCTGGACTTTCCATCGTCTGCGATACTGAACCCCTCGATCTTGCGTGAGACCTCGTCTGCACTTACCTTTACTTTTCCCATAGATCCATTGACCAAAGCTTCATCTGAGTCGTCATGTGTTAAAGGACCAGTCTGCCATATCCTAATGGTTCCATCCTCAGATCCAGAGGCATAGGATTCTCCTCCGGGTGCAAAGCGCAAGCAATGTACAGGTCCATGATGACCCTTGTTACATGCTGCATCAACAGTTAAACACAAGGGGCATTCTTCAGCAATCCCGAACGCGCGACAAACTAAAAAGGAAAGAGAATGATATAGCAGAAGAGCATACCAATCTCATCACCAGTATGAAAATCAAATACATGGATCCACATATCCTCTCCACCCGCTATGAACTTCATCCCATACTTCGGTTCCAACGAAGCGGATTCTACATTGCAAGGCATATTGTAGCTCTTGACTAAGCCAAAGCTGAAAAGAGAGGGAACAAAAATCAGGAGGAGAGTATGATTTACTAGTAACACTGCTTAAGCAAGCAATACACTTACTGATTTGCATCCCAAAATTTAACGGTAGATCCATCAGCAGTTGTTATATACCGTCCATCCTGACTTACTTCTGCACTGGTCACTGATGACTTGGTTTCGAGTGTTTGAACTATTTGGCCACTTCTTACATCCCATAATCTGTTCGGTCACGACTAAACTTAATAAGACTAACCAAATATCTAAATAATAATAAAAGAAAATAAATACCGATGTAGTACGAGAAGGCAGATTAACACCCAGCAATACACACCTGACACCTCCCATGTCAGTGCAAGAACTTAATATTGTTTGATCACTGTGAAGCCATGTAACAGTTCTGACTGAACCGGGGGATTTATCCACTTCTCTTGGAGGCGCATCAGGACGATTCAAATCATATATTCGTAGTACTTTCTCCAGACCACCAGTCAATAGAAGGTGTGTATCCTGTCACGTTTTAGAAAACGTATCAAGTGAAAAAAGAGAAATTCATCTTAAAGATAAAGATCTAAGCGTCAAAATCATTCCACATAATCACAAGATGATAGCACAATTTGGTAAATAACAGTCAGAATTCAAATATTGCCACAATCATTTCTGCAATGAGGGAGAATAACAAGCAGTAAGAGATCGAGTCAAATAAACAACTAATGAGAGTAATCATGTCAGCAGAACCATACATCGAATCCTATCAAAACCGAAATAACTCAAAAACCAAGAGTCCCATGAATAAATCACAATCACATTGAATCAATCAAGCCTGCGCACCAACAAGAAGTGAAACTTCTTTTTTCTAATAATAATATCCATAGTGTCTAAGCCAACTGAAGCGCAGCTGGATTAACCTCACTTGGGCCAACTGTGTATCCTACAAGTTGTCATGAACTCTGGGGTTTTGAAAAACTAGGTAGATGACAACTGTGGGATTAATTCCTAGGTATTGTCAGTAAGGTAAAAAGATGCACCATGATTTGATAGTAGATTCCAATGTAATTTCTTATGGGCATGATCATATGCAAATCAGCAAAGTGTGTGTATCAAGAATGTGATAAAAGATATTACCTCCGAAAAGGCACAGGCACGGACAATATGCTTGTGCTCAAATGAGTGCAGTACATGTCCAGTTAATGCATCCCATACTTTCCTGTAAGTTCAATCACAAATATGAAGGATCCTAACAATGATTCCATTCTCCATCATTGTCACAAAATCACTTGAAAAACATGTCTAACTTCCATTGCAAATGTAGTAAAATTTAACAAACAAGATTTTGTCATCAAAATGAAGCTTACAAATAATCAATTTCAAAATAATTACAATAAAAGCTACTGTATGCCTGAGGAGTGGAGAAGGTGTAAGAAGGTGGTGCAGTACTAGAGGAAGCAAATACTGGCGAGAATGGAAGAAGACTACAATGGGTAGTTCTGCCAAAACATCATGGTGCAAAATGCACTGGCAAGGGGCATACGAAAACAAGGTAGCAAAAGCAAGTGTCCAGCCAATGTGATTCCTAACTGATGTAGTTAGATTTTAAGCATAGAAAGTAACCCTTAGCAGAGTTTAGTAAGTTGGTCGGTAGGTCGGTTAACCATTGTGACTAATGGCTAGAACCAACTAGTTTCTAACGTCAGAATTGACATTTCGGAACCCTCAACCATAACGGAGTCTTACTTGCAAATTTGCCAAATAAAATAGAACTATTCTACCACTCTGTACCAAAAAGAGGAAACACATAGGAAATTGAAATATTAAATGTATATATAGAAGAGTACAGACCGTAAAGCGGAACTAAGAAGCATGGGAATCAAATTAAGTAGTACTTGAAACAACAAACTATAAGGAAAAATTCAACTATGTTGATCGGTTAATAAATCCCGAGAAAAGTTAGGAAAATCCCTATTACCCATCGATGCTATACACATGAAGAGCTACTCCTCTAATTGTAGACTGCATACAATGTTATGACTATCAAAAATAAAAAATATGGCAGTTCTTAAAACGTATCATGAAAACAAATGAAAAAAAACATACGCTGAAAAATCAGCAGAACCAGTGGCAGCACGTAAGGCATTGGTATCCAGGCAACAACTCCAAACTGCGCCTTTGTGACCTTCAAATGTACCAATCCAATCGCCAGTTTCTCCATTTCTGAGCATGGGATTGGAATCTGAATGGCGCAAGAAAAGCATACTTGAGAGGCAACACAGGATAATAAACGGTGGATTATGCTTTGAGCAAACCACCAAGACACATGGGTTTCATGGAATCTCTCATCAAGAAAGGCTAAAATCACAATGCCCACGTCTAAGCACATCTATCTATTAAAGTCAAAAGGACTGACACTGAACGAGAATGATCCAAAATCATTTAACACTCATAAACTGATTATGTTCTAAATTAACAGTATCTAGAAACTTTCGCAATTCATAAATTCACGTCTAAAAAACAAAACAAAAAAAAAGTTAACTGCATACCCTTGCTGGCACTGATGAGGAAGAATCCATCCGGCGTAACAGGGCTATAAGATAGATCCACGACCGGTCGAGAATGGCCATGGCAAACAAGAGGAATAGCCACTTTCTTCTTATCCATCTCTCACAAAAATCAACTACTCTACACTTCTATAAACCTAACCTAAAAACTATAGATTTGCTCTTTATTGATACCTTTAAACCTGTATTTCAAGAACAAATAACCAAATCAAAACCCTAAAGCCGCAAATCCTCATAAATTCACAATCAACTGTAGACAGAACGAGGCGATCAGTAGAATCGAAGTAAGCTTTTTGAATTGTGATCGATCGAAAATTGGAGCGAGAAATGGCGGTATATAACACAGGTGAGAGACGCCAACAACAAAGCTAACACCCACACCTCCTAACCCTCTAAAATGGCTCTGATAAAATCAAAATCTAAACCAAAATTACAGCGAGAAGAAAATTTTCAAAAAATTAAACCTTTAAAAGGAAAATCTAACAAAACAGAGCTTCCTAGAGAAGGGCTAGGCGCAACCGTAACTGGCTTCAGACCTGATCTTATATATCATGAAATCACTTTTTATTATTACTTTTTTTTTTCCTTTCTTTTCTTTTGGGCCTGCGTCGATATGGGCTTCAATTTGCGACCGGCCCATTAGGATGCTGAGGCCGTGTCATCGTTCCTTTCTTTTCTTTTGGGCCTACGTCGAGATGGGCTTCAATTTGCGACCGGCCCATTAGGATGCTGAGGCCCGTGTCATCGTTCCTTTCTTTTCTCTTGGGCCTTCGTCGAGATGGGCTTCAAGTTGCGACCGGCCCATTAGGATGCTGAGGACTGTGTCATCGTTCCTTTCTTTTCTTTTGGGCCTTCATCGAGATGGACTTCAACTTGCGACCGGCCTATTAGGATGCTGAGGCCCGTGTCCTCGTTCTTTTCTTTGCCGAAAGCGCAAGAAACCGGCAACATCCACCTCCCTTTCAGAACATCGATTGGTACAAGGAAATCTCATTTCAGTTTGCTCGT